ACTCTTAATAGTACGTAAAACGTACTCTTAAAGGTACGTAAACTCAGTTTTCCTTAAATGGGTTTTAACGGTTTTTTTAATTAATACTTTTTCCATTTTACATATCAAATATTTGGACAAGGCAATTAAAAGGCCCCAGTAAAATACCAAATATAAGATTTGGTCTAGTTCTATTAATAGAACTATATTAACCTTCAAAATCTATTTATATCTGAATACTTCGGTAGCGAGATGGCTCAACCGAACATAGGTTTCTAAAGACTGTTAGCGTTGCTTAGTTTATCCTCCGTTCAGCCAACCAGATGTGCCAGTCTAATGAAGGCTAAGTCGGTAGTTCTTGATAAGTGGCAAGTTATTGGTAAATGCAATAACTATGGACATCAAGAGTTTTTTTGTTTTTATTCTTTTCTTTTTTTCTAAAGATAGGATTTTATGCGTCTCTCGGATTCGCCCCAACGAAACATACCATATCTATTAGAGCGACAACGAAACACTAAATAAAATCCCTTCGGCGAAAACAGTACTGAGAGGATTATATATAGGCAATGTCTCAGCCTCACAATCCCTCAAAGTATTGCTGTTTTCACGACGCATACCTAACTTTTTAATTATACTTAGACTTAACCTAGGCGTTTAATTACTCTAAGGCGTTAATATCGCCTTGATAGACCGGATTTTACAAATGGCAGGGGGTGTGGTTGGTGTAGGGGGCATAGGGCTGTCAGGAGTGTGAGTGGGTGATGTGCTGGTGGTAGGGGGGACATTGCGGAGAGTTAGAGGAGCGCTGGCAGTATTGGTCGGAGGTAGGGGGTGAGAAATGCTAGTGGTGTCAGTCGAGTGTGGGTGTGTTAGAGTGGTGGAGACCGGGTGGGATGGAGTAGGAGTAGGCGAAGTGGTGGTGGTAAGTGGTATAGGACTGGCGGTAGGGATAGGGATAATAATATTTATTTCAAAAATGGCAAGTATGTATGATACAATGTATGAACATATGGTATGGCTCTCATAGTCGCTGTAGGGACCCTCGCAAACAGCGCGCGGAGGCAGTTGATCCAGTTTTCAGGCATTCCAGCGTGACGCAGAAATACCCATAGGCGTGGGAGAGCGACCTTGTCGTATGCCTTGGTTATGTCCAGACAGACGTCGTTCCACTCCTCTTCTGACTGTGTCTCAGATTCCATGGCGGCAAGTGCTTGGGTATGACAGGAGTACCGTGATTTGAAGCCAGCTTGGGTAGCATGTGTAGCAGAGCCGGGGTGGCTCGTAATCAGATTAAGGAAGCACTTTTCAAAGGTGCGTCTGACTATTTGCGTAAGAGTGATGGGGCGGAAGTCGGCGGGGGAGGTGATATCTGCATCGGCTTTCTTTGGGTGCGCTGTCAGGAGGCTGCAGTTCAGGGCTGCAGGGAAGGTACCCGCCTTCAGTAGCTCAGTGAATGCTTCGGCCAGGAGTCTAATAAGTGGGCTATTGGCGTCGAGGCGTCCTAATGTCCGGCGTTCGGTAGAGCACTCCACTGCGGCCTTCAGGAGGAGGATGTGGATCCCGTCGGGGCCAGGTCCCTTATTGGGATAGCGTAGTATTGCCTCCATTACATCGTCGGGGCGTATGGTGGAAGTGGCATCAGGAGAGGGTTCGGTATTCGGTGGAACCACGT